TGAAGTTATTTTGAAATGCCTTCGGTTGGGGAAGGGGCAGGGGAGGCTTGGTACTCTGGCTAGCCCCTGGGTCTGCTCCTGCTCTGGGGAGGGCTTCAGTTAGGCCTGGACCACACCAGGAGTGGCTGGTGACCTCCTGCGGGTTGGTGCTAGCATTGCCTGGGGCCTGATCCCCTGAGTCACCCTGCCTCACCCCAGATTGTCCCATTGTGGGCTAGATTATAGCTCAGTCATCTCAGCTGAGACAACCCTCTGGTTTTGGAAGGGAATTTTCCCGAATGCCACCAGCTAAGCTCTCTGGCCCTGAGCTTTGGCTGCGCCACCACGGATGGGCCTTGCCTCCTTCCTGTGCTGTGTGCTGGGCTCCCTCCACAGGGGCGGCTCCCCTGCCCCGCACCTCCCTCTCCCGCTCCTGCCGCACCCTCTCCCTGCCCACTGCACTGGCTTCAGAGGTCAGCTTCCTGTCTTCCCGCCCTCCTGCCTGTGTGGGGCAGGCCTGGCTCGCCAAGACTTCATGGCCAACTGTCTCTGCTGTCACCTCCTCCCTCCTGCCCTTGCTCCCTTCCCGATCTCAGCCCTGGCTCTCCCCAGCTCCGGCTCACCAGCTGGAGTCTCCCCAGTACTTTGGGCACATTGCTGTCATTGGCTCTCCCTTCCCCACCGCTGGAGGGAACACATCAGGTTCTTTCTCCAGTGGCTGTTCTCAAGGCATTGACCGGCCAAGGGTGGGTGCCTGGCGGGGGGATAGGGTGTGGGGCAGGGTTTCTCAAGCTCTATTGACAACTGGGGCCAGACAGTTCTTGACTATGTGGGCTGTCCTGTGCGCTGCAGGGTGTTCAGCAGCATCCCTGGCCTCTACTCACCAGAGGCCAGGAGCAGCCCCTCCGAGTTGTGGCAACCAAAAATGTCCCCAGACTTGCCACATGTTCTCTGGGGAGCAGAATTGCTCCTGACTGGGAACCACTGGGCTGAGGGCTGAGAGCTTCATGTCTCAGGCTGGGCTAAGACTGCACCAGAGGGACCTGAGAAATGATCTCGTCCAAATCCCATGTTTTAGAGGAAATTGGGCCTCCAAGAGCTGAAGAATCTTAGGGTCACACTGGGGAGCAGCATGATGAGAGAGGCGTTTTAGGAAAAGGAATCAGGCAGCTCTATGCAGGCTGGGCTGGAAACCAGAGGCCAGGGGCAGGGAGGGCAGTGGGGGCCGTGATCTGGACGTGGGACCCATGGCGAAGGCCTGGTCTTGGTGCCTGTGCCCTCTCAGTCGGAGGTCCCCTGGGAGCAGGTGGTAGTAAAGCCTTCTACACCAAATGCCAGAAGCCAAGGTTTTGTCCCAGTCTGGCATTGTGACTGGGGACTTCCATGTCCCCGCCTTAGCTTCCTGGAAAATCAGGCGTGACCTTTGTGTTTTCTTCTTGCCGGGAAGCTCTGATAGTGTTGAGCCATCGGAAGATGGGAGCAGAGGGCTCGATTCGGCTGGAGCCCCTTGAGGATGGGAGTGTGGCAGTGGGGATGTGTGTGGCACCCGCTCTACTACGCTGGCCTCACTGGGCAGACGTGCACCATGTGTGGAGTTGTGCCAGGCGGGGGCTGTGATGGAGGCGGGAACAGGTTTGAGGGCTTGGAGAGGAAGGCTTCGGGTCCAGACTGTGCCGCCATAGGATAGGCCACAGATCTTTCCTGGGGGCCTGGAGGACTTTGGACAGGAAATGGGAAAGGAAGCAGATTTGGGGACAGGGCACCAGCTATGTTCCCTGAGAGGTAGAAGGCTCCCGGCTGGGTCTGGCAAGGCCAAATCACAGGATGTGGAATGTAAAGTCAGAGAAGCAGTTTGAAGAGAGGTGACCAGGTCCTGGAGTTTCGGACCTAAGAGGTTTTCCTAGGTGGAGGCTCCTGAGCATCCCAGCACTTCCCCAAGGAGGGAAGTGGAGAGAGGGGCTCGGAAGGGATCCCCCTCCCTGCAGGTACACCGACCGTGGGAAACCGCTTCAGGAGGAAAGCTGTACTTTGAGAACTTTTCCAGGCCCGAGGAGGATCCAGGCTCTGAGCTCTGGGGTCCTGCGTGTCTCCAGCTGCAGTGGGTGGGGGCACCCCCCGGCTCCCCCTGCAGCCAGTACCTGCGGCAGCAGGGTTTCCGCTTACTCATTCCAGGGTCTGGCTTTTAGAGCCATAAATCTTCAGCATGAAGATCATAAGTTCTCCATGGTATGATTAATGAAAGAAAAATTGAGACGGCAGCATAGAAACTGACCGGATTGAAGAAAAGTCAGAGTGACTATTCGGATGAAAGTTTCAGCCATCACTGGTGAACCCAGAGCTTCTGGACCAGCTTGGAGCGCCACCTAGTGGCCGCAGTGGGGATAGCCCCCGTTTCCTGGCGAAGCTTTGTGATGGCCCAGTTGGGCGATGCTGTGGGTCTGAGTGTGCCCATTCCTTGGGAGCCCTGACCTGGTTCCATGTGGGGCTGCCCCTGGGGACAGAGGGTGCAGGCCCACTCTCCACAGTGTGAAGGACCCAGGCAGCTGCGGGACGTACCTCATTCGGACCCCCGTCCAGCTCCTTGCACTGTCTCTGAGTTAGTAATACGTGCAGGTATCTGTTCCCACCTTTTTCTTTATGCACTGTGTGGACCACCTTTCTGGTTCCCCATTTATCAAAATCCTGCTCATTCTTCAAAGCCCAGCAAGGCCTGTCAATGCCACCTTCAAAACGTCTCACATTGGCCCATTTCTCACCGCTCCTCCGTAGCCTCCTGGTATGAGTTCCCAGCTCCCGCCTCCCAGTAGCCTCCCAGTTGCTCTCCTGGCCTCCCTCAGGCCGTCCCACGGTCACTTCTCCAAACAGCAGCTAGAGTGATCTGCGGAAAACCTCAGTGAGGTCTTGTCAGTCTCCAGCTCCGGGGCCTTCCCGTCACACTGAGGACACCTGCACGTTTCCTTTACCTACGAGGTCCCAGCTGGCCTGGCCCCCGGCCACCCCGCCTGCCTTGTCTCCTACCACGTGTCACCTCACTCAGTGTTGTAGCACACGGCCAGCGTGCTCCTCCTTGGCTGGCCAGGCTCCTTCCCACTGCGGGGCTTTTGCACCTGCTGTTCCCTCTGGAATGTTCTTCCACCAGATAGTTATGTTACTCCCTCCCCGTGTTTATTTGGGTTTTTGCTTAAACACCACCTCTTCCAAGACACCTTCCCTGCCCACACCCTCCCCAGTTATTTTCTGGCTCTTTACATAGCCTTATTTTTCTTCGTGGCACATGTCAGCAGCTGAAGTTGTGTCATTTGTTGCTTACCTAAGGTCAGTGTCTCCTGTAAGAGTCTACTCTTCGTGAAGGCAGGGTCTTTGCCAGTGAGGGGTACCACTGTCTCCCCAGCTCGGAGAACAGGGCCTGGCGCTGAACACGCAGGTGTTGGGTTTGTGGAGGAATAAGCGAAGGAGATGCCCTTCCTCAGGGAAGCATCTGTCCCCTCCCCTCGCCTTCCCGTGGGCATCACTACCCTGCCTAATTGCGGGTTGCCTTGTCTCAGCCCCGAGCCTCTGTTTCCTCCCAGGAGCCAGAGCAGCTTGAGAGCAGGGGCTGGGCTGATTCCTGGATTCAGCATAGTCAGCACAGGCCCTGGCACAGAACAACTGCCAGGGAAGTGCCTTTCCAGCAAGCAGTGCCCGGAGCTGGCCACGCACATCTTGTAGCTTATTCCATTCTAATTCTTACAACAGTCTAAAAGGAAGGGGATGATATTCTCACTCTGCATACGAGAGGTTTGCAAGCTCACACCGCCAGGATAAGCTAGAGCCGGGAGTCCTGTTCGGGTCTGTGACTCCCAAGCCCTTACCCCTGCACGTTCACCCGGCATGGAATGTTCTCGTCCTTCGTCTGCCCCAAGTCCACCCACCCTTTAGGGACTGCCTCCTTCAACTGGCTTCCGTGACTGCGACAGTGATCGCCTTCTCTGAACGCCCGTAGCGTTGACTGGGCACCAGTCCATCCCACCTGGGAGTGTAAATGTTGCACTTTTATAGCTCCCATCCAGCCAGAACAGAGACCCCGGGAAAACAGGTCTCTAAAGTGGTTGTAGCTTTTCTGACATGGCACACTGCATGCTGTAGGCACTCAATAAATACTATTTGACTGATTGATTGGTTCCTTAGACTCAGCAAACTTCCCCTGAGCTGGCGGAGGGAGTGGGGGAGTGCCAGCTAGATCGAGCATAAAATCAGGCAGATGTGGAGATTTGTGGCCAGTGAAATGGAAGCTTCCCCAGGTGGAGCCGGTGGCGCTGGCAGCCCCGGGGGTGCTGTTGGGGAGAGTTACTTTTCGGTTTTGGGGCCGATCATGCCAGAGGCCGGCTTATTAGGTGGATGGTGAAGGCAGCCATGGACTCCCATGTCCCACACACTGGCCAGGCCCGCAGCCAGCTGGTGACTGCCTCCTTTCTCCATCTGTGGGAAGTTGTTCTTCAGACTCCAGTGGACAAATGGCCCTTCAGGTCAGAGTAACAGGACCCAGTCACGGGAAGTTCTGGCTCCAAGAAACCCGACTCCGAGGGTCCCTTCCCACCTCCGGAGATGAAGTCTTTCTTGCTTTCCCTGACCCCAGTTCTCCCTTCTCACCAGGCCTCTGTCTTGGACACTGGGGCCTCTTCTCTATCACGCAGAGTAACCTAACCGCTCACATGTGCCCAGTACCTTCCATGTATTTGTCATGCACTTCTGCCTCTGTGTGGTTTAATCCATCCTCAGAGTGACCTGGGAGGCTCGTGAAGCTGGCACAGCCTCCGTTGTCATATGGGGAGACTGAGGCACAGAGAGGCTAGGGGACCGTCTGGATCACTCAGCCGACATGCTTTGGGTCTGCGGCCATGCCCGACGGTAGTCCCGTTCCCACCTTGTCGGTTCTGACTTTGTCTGTGTCTCAGAGCGTGGGGTGGGGGCCTGCAGGGTTCCCAGGTCCGTGGACGAGTGTGAGAGCAGTGCCAGGCTAATGGGCTTTCCTTCCTCTCCAGCTCTGTGGCTGTGGGCTGCTTGGAGTGGGCATCTGGCTCTCCGTGTCCCAAGGCAACTTTGCCACCTTCTCCCCCAGCTTCCCTTCGTTGTCTGCAGCCAACCTGGTCATCGCCATAGGCACCATTGTTATGGTGACGGGCTTCCTCGGCTGCCTGGGGGCCATCAAGGAGAACAAGTGCCTCCTGCTCAGCGTAAGTTATGTCCGAATCCCCAGCCCCTCCAAATCCTGATCTCCTTGCCCTTGTACCCCGGGACAGGCAAGACCTGGAACACTAGCCACCTGGCGTCCAACCTGAGCCCAGGGGAACTGCCTCTAGAATGTTCTAGGCTTGATCACACCCCTCCTCATCATGATTGGTTATGCATACCCCTAGTTGTCCCTCCCACTCCCGGATTAGTCAGCTCCTTTATTATGCCCCTGTCCTAGCTATCTGGGTTTCCTCAGGAGGAGCTGGCCTCTCCCAGACCTGGGAAGCCCCACCTAGGCGCCCCCTGTCCCTGCCTTCCACGCCTTCCTTGTCCTCAACCCTGCCCATTGCCACCTACCCATGCCTGGCCCTTTCCTTTGCAGTTTTTCATCGTCCTGTTGGTCATCCTTCTAGCAGAGCTGATCTTACTCATCCTCTTCTTTGTCTACATGGACAAGGTAAGCCTTGCCAGATGGGAGGGGGCATATGGAATGTCACTGCCCTTAGGGTTGGGCCAAGCAGGCCAGGGGCCCTTCCCTGGCCAGAGGAAGAGTGCTGGCAAGCAGCACCTGTGCAGAAAGGAAGACGGAACCATGGGTTGGGAAAGCTACCGAGGAAAGGCCAGTTGGAAGGTTTTGATGGGGGGAGCATGGGGTGGGCAAATTTGGAGGATGGGGGAGTTGTATAGTCCCAGGAAGTGGAATCCTCTGCATGACCAGAGATGGCAGTGGGCTGCCTCTGGCGCTGGCGAGCTCCCTGTCACTGGAAGGAATTAAGCTACTTGGAGAAGGGATTCACACCTCCTCAGGTGGTTGGGCTGGGTGATTTGAGAGCAACCCATGAGAAACAAGGAGGAACTCTCTGGACGAAGCTGGCTGAGCAGGACTGACAGCACAGGCAGGCTGTGTTTCCTGCACTAGAGCCCTTGAGGACGGGCGCTGCTCCTGGGTTCAGGAGGATGGTGGGTCGCCCCCTATGACCTCGCCAGGCTGGGCAGTTTGCAGTCACGAGCGAAGTTGGCCAGGATTTCAGTCTCTTGGGGCGTGGCAGGCCCTTTGGTACCATGTGCTCCAGAACTGTGTAAGGAGCAGTTCTTGAAGTAGCTGCCTGAGCCACACCGAAAGTTAGAGACATCGTTAGGATGAGAAAGAATAATTTTTTAGCTTTGCACTTGAGAAAGGGAAGAAAGAACAATGTCGAGAGATTTGTCTGTGCCAGCCCTGTTCTTGGCCCTTTTATGAGAATTGTTTCCCTTAGTTCTCACAACAGCACCATGAGTAGATACAGCTATTCAATATCAGGTAGAACAGCGGTGAGGGAGGCGCAAGGTCACATGACCTGTCTTCCTCCCTTAGTTCCCAGGATGTGTTTTGAGGGGGGCAGTCTGTGGGGAAGCTGTGTAGTGGGGGGCGAGGGTGGCAGAGTGGCCTGTGTGTGTGGCTGGTCCTGGGATGGGAGAGTGGAGGCATTTGGTGTTTTTGCCTCTGTGTGTTACAGCCCTGGCCCTGAATTTAGCTCTGGCAGGAGGCGGTGGGTGCACCAAGGCCTGCTGTATTCTGAAGCTGGGAGTGTGCGCCTACCCCCGCACCTCTGTTGGGCCAGCAGAGCCCCCCACCCCAGTGGGCAGGGCCTTCCAGACCAGCTGCCTCCCCTGCCTTCCTCACCCCTCATCTGTCACCCACCATCCTGGGTGACCTGAGGTGGGCTGGAGAGATAAGCTGCGTCCTGATCCTGACCATCTCGCTGTGTCCCTCCACCTGGCAGGTGAACGAGAACGCTAAGAAGGACCTGAAGGAAGGCCTACTGCTGTACCACACGGAGAACAACGTGGGGCTGAAGAACGCCTGGAACATCATCCAGGCTGAGGTACGGGCTGGGCCACACTGGCGGGGCCAGGCAGGGAGGACGGGTGGCAGCCGGCACTTGTAGCTGCCTTCCCAGGTGACCTGACCCGGCACCTGTGCTTTCTGGATTTTAGCCGGGAGTGGGGTGGCACCCACCGGGGCATTTGCCTGAACTGCCGAGTCAGACGTGGTACAGCAGGGTGCAGCCAGGAGGGATGAGGACACAGGTAGGGGCAGGCCTAAGAGAGCTGTGGCTGAGCTTTGGGATGAATGACTGAATTTATTTTAGCAATGATTTGCCTCCATGATGGGGCTTGGCTTAGGTGAGGAGGCCCTGGCTGTAAGAGGAAAATAAGTCCATACTCCCAGATGCACCCATTTTAAGCCCTGGCGAGGGGCCGGCAGGGGCTTGAGTGGCAGTCAGCTTGGGACGGTTCACAGAAGGAGCAGAGGTGCTGGTGGGGAGGTGCCCAGCCCGACGGTGGGCTGCATTGCCTTCTCCCACTCTGTTCTCCAGGAGGGAGCACTCACTCGCTTCCCCAGTGGGCCCGGCTGAAGCCCAAAGAAGGGACGAGAAGCAAGCCCTTTGTCTCCTCCCTTAACTCCAGGGTGGCCACTTTTTGGGGGGCTGGAGTTGGCCTGGGCAAGGGAAGGCCCTGGGGAGGAAGGGGCAGGCCATGGCATGTCTGACCACCGCTTCCATTCCTGCCGGCCAGATGCGATGCTGTGGCGTCACTGACTACACAGACTGGTACCCGGTGCTGGGGGAGAACACGGTTCCCGACCGCTGCTGCATGGAGAACTCCCAGGGCTGCGGGCGCAACGCCACCACGCCTTTGTGGAGAACGGTGAGGCTGGGGATGGGCCGCTTGGGTCCAAGAGCCCATGTGTGGATGTCCTGGCACGAGGAGACCTATAGCGGGGGCTGGGCCCAGGACACTGAGAGGTTGGCTGAATGTGGGGTGGGGTAGGGGCTCACAAAATAAAGCCGAAAGGCAGATGGAAAATGGGGGGTGGGGCTGACCCACAGTTGGGAGAGTCAGAGGGTGAGGGGTTGAATGGGGTCTGAGGCTGTGCAGCTGGCCTTGCAGGTGGGGTGGAGGCTGCACCAAGGGAGGGGGACAGGGCTGAGGCCAGGGAGGGCTGGGAGGTAAGAGCAAGGCGAGGTGGAAGGAGAGAGTGAGGTGGGGGCCGGGCTGCAGGGAGCGCATGGTGGGCTGGGACCCTAATGTCGTGGGCCTCGCTCCCCAGGGCTGCTATGAGAAGGTGAAGATGTGGTTCGATGACAATAAGCACGTGCTGGGCACGGTGGGGATGTGCATCCTCATCATGCAGGTAAGAGGGGCGTCCCCAGCAGCCTCGCCCACCCTGCTGGCCTCAGCGCAGAGGGAAGGAAGCACAGAGAAGTGAAAGCAGTGTTGGTTCATGGCGGAGGGTCTGGAGTTCATCACAGCTTTTCAAGCTTGGCAGCTGTGCCTGCCGCCGTTTTCTCTGAGCTCTGACCTGAGAGCACCTCAGCACTGACAGTGGTGCTCAGGGCTGCCTGTGGCCAGGCCTAGGCTGGGATATTGAAGCTGGAGTCACCCCCCGTGGGTTCCCCCAGTTCTGCCCGAACCTTGAGCCCAGAGAGCCATGCAAGGCACACACGGTGTCCCCTCGTCACCGTCTTTACAGCCTGTGCCCACGGCACACTATCTGTGGTGACCGTGAGACCACAGTGGGCTTCCTTCTGTCTCCTGCACTTGTCTGGGTCCCCAGCTCCTTTGAGATCCGGGAGGGGAGGGACACAAACAAGTAGTGACATCGTCCTGAGCACACATCATTGGTGAGACAGCCCTGTTGCTGCCAAGACATTGCACCATGTATTCTACAAGCAGACAGGAGGGGCTTGGCAGGAGTCCTTTTTTTTTCTTTTTTTAAGTGACAGGGTCTCACTTTGTTGCTCAGGTTGGAGTGCAGTGGTGCCCTTATAGCTCGCCGCAGCCACAAACTCCTGGGCTCAAGCAGTCATCCCACTTCAGCCTCTCAAGCTGCTGGGACTACAGGTGTATACACCACCATACCTGAATGATTGAAAACTTTTTTTAAAAAATAGAGATGGGGCCTCCCTCTGTTGCCCAGGCTGATCTCAAGCCATCCTCCCACCTTGGCCTCCTAAGGTGCCACTGTGCCCGGCTGGCCTGAGTCCTGAACGATCCCTGCCACCTCCCACTCCCCACCTTGGCGCCTGTGAGCCCCCACTTAGGGCCAGGTCCTCCGTGCATCCCGTGCCCGCAGCACCCCTCTGAGTGGGCATGCGTGTGCGTCCTGCAGAGGTTTGGTGGCTTCTGGTCTCACAGCCCCACGAGGCTGAGCCAGCGTTCACCTGTGTGTGACCTCTGTTCACGGTTTTCTTCATTTCTTCATGCCACTAGCACTTTCCTGGCACACCCGTGGCCATCCCTGCTTGCTCGAGGTGTCCTGTGACATCCCAGGCCTCTAGGGGCTGAGGTCAGGTCCAGGCTGCTGCAGCTCCTGCCTCAGGCCCCTCCCCGTGTCTTTCAGATCCTGGGCATGGCCTTCTCCATGACCCTTTTCCAGCACATCCACCGGACTGGTAAGAAGTACGACGCATGAGCCGGCTGGCCGGGAGTGCCCGCCCCGCCCTGCTGCCCCGTGGAGGGGAGAAGATTGAGCTTTGTGTCGCCTGCCTGCACTCTCCAGATGTGACCCCTGCACCCACCCACCTCGGCCTGCCCTACCCTCCTACCCTGCCTCAGCCTCGGACTTCTCAGTGGGTAGAGTGCCAGCGAGGAGGAGGCACACGGAGACCTGGGGCTCGGGGCACCTGGATTCCTGCATCTGCATATGCGTATTTGCCAAAGACGACAGGGTGGGCTGGGGTGCACTCAGGAGGAACCCCCAGCACTGATGGGCTTCTGCCCCTGCCCTTCCTCACACTGACACTTTGTCCCCACGTGGGGTGGGGAGCAGAGTGCCCGCCCCGTGGAGATACCGCCCCAGCGGGGGCTGCTACGTCCATGGCCACCATGAGGCACTTGGCGGGGCGGGGGTCTGCCAGCCTCTGGGCAAGGCCCCTGGAGCATCTCGCCCAGGCTTTTTATACCTTACAATGTAACTTTTTTTATTTTATTTTACTCTACGATTATTCAGGAATATTATCTCTCAGATAAGTTTAGGGTTAGATTTCTGATTTGTAACTTTTTACTGTGTTGATTTCTTTAATGGTTTGAATTTTTTTCCCTGAGGGTGAGGGATGGGTGGGAAGAGAGGACATCTGTCCAGTCTCAATCAGGACAGACCACCGTGCGACGCCCGGGAGGCTCTCGGATGGGGCGTGCCTGCGCCCTCAGAACGTGTGGGAAGGAGGGGCGGTGGATGGGAGCCTGGGAGAGGTGGGTGAGCATGAAGCAGGCTGGAGGCGCCCCTGCACAGGAGGTGGCGTGTGCTGACTAATGGAGCTGGAAAGACCAGGGCAGGGGTCCCCACGGTGCTGGAGAAACGCTTTGCCGGGAATGTGGCAGAGCTAGAGGGGTCCTTAGACTTTTCGCTGAGGAGCAGTTGTTGGTATTTTCTTTCTTCCTTTCTCCCGCTCTCTGCTGGCACAGGAGGCTTCCCCTTCCACCCCGTGTGGGTACTCCCACAGCAGGTTCTGCACACCCCAGTTATTTCACAGACATTCCTGCTAGAAACTGTCAGACAAATACCTCTCTAGTTCGGATGCTGCGCACTTTCTCCCTTGCTTCTGGAAGGGGAAGCAGTCCTTAGGTTTTGCTGTGCTGGGACAGTGGCAGGGGATCCACGGGGGCGGGGACCCACGGTCGTCCCCACCAGCCTTGCTCAGCTGTGGGTTGCCCTGCTGGGAAGGAGGGAATCACGTCCACCTGGGTCCCAAGATCTTCGCCGCCTTCCCTGGGGCCATGGACATCAGCAGTGGGTTGGGTGGCGATCCTGTCGTCTGTGATCCCAAGGAGAAGAAATACAGAAAACCCAAGGGAGCTCGGACTGGCTCTTGTTACCAGAGCCACAGGAAGAAAGCAGCCAGAGTCATGCATGTGCAGAGCTGGGCCTGGGAGAGAAACAGGCTGGGGAGTGAGGTGGGGAGTGGGGTTCAGCTGCAGCAGGGCGCCCCTCCAAACTGCAGCTGGGCTGGCTTACTGTTTTGCAGTCCAAAAGGTGGCGGATCCATGGGACTGAGCATGGGGACCTTACCCACTAGCCAGCATCTAGTGCACTTGCTCAGGTGGGGCCTTGGTGGGCGGCTGCCTTTCCTATACAGTTTGTCTTGTCACCCTGGTTTCCCACTGGGGCCAGGTCTCTTCCCCAGCCTTCACCTGTCTGTCTGCTCCAAGAGCTGAGACACAGGCACCCAGCACCAGTCACTCCTCTGTTCACCTTAAGTAACACACACGTCGGGACCAGGAGGATAGAACTGTTGGCATTATCAGGACTCGTGTTTTGCGGGGGTGGGAGTTGAGAGGAGGGCGGTCTTGTGAGTTGGGCAAGGTAAAGACTGCTTCCCTGAGGCAGGGGCGGTGGTGCCGATGGAACCCGGGGAGGCCCACGTTTGAGCAAAGCTGCCCTTCCCTTGTTCCCTGGCCTGGCTTCCTGGTAAGGAGCTTCAGCCACCTCCCCAGGAGCCCCCAGAGTGCAGATTCTGGAGCAGACACACCCTGGTGGAGAGATACTCGGCACACAAGTGCTCCAGTTGCACGGTGGGACCCGGGGCCTCGTGCGTTTCTCGCTGTGGGTGGGGTAGGTGGGTTGGTTTGTGCCTATCAATGCAATTTTTAATTTTTGTTAATATCAACAGCAAAAGCCGAGTGCATTAGGAGACGTGCAACCTCCCTGAAAATCTTTTCTGTTGCTGGAGTGCTTCAGTGGTGGCCTCTGGCCCCAGAGCCTTTGCCACAGTGCCCCCACCAGCCCCCACCTCATCCGTCTGTTTGCAGAGCCTCATCTACAGGTCCCCATGCTGCCTTCTTTACTCACTCTGCGCTTGGCTGTTTTGTTATTTGCCTGAGTCTACGTTGGGCGGAAGCCTCTGTGCACGGAATGGGTGTTCCTCCAAGCCTCTTCCACTCGGAGGGCCACACCCGGCGATGCCAGTGAAGGTGGCACAGCCTCTCTTCAGTTTCTCTTGACTGTGATCTCACTGGGGCAGAATTCCCCGGAGAGAATTCCCTCACTCACAGCTCCCTCTGCCAGAGTTAGTTCTATCAGGTCTGATGTGAGCAATTTACACACTTGTCTCAGAAAGTCCCTCAGGGTTTGTAGAGGACTCAGGGGGCATCTGCTGCAGACTCAGCCTTTCTCTGCAGCCATTTTGCAGCAGGGGTGAGCGGGCACAGGCTGCGAACTGCCCTTGGGTGGTGGTAGCAGGGGTCAAGGTGCAAGTCTCCCCCTGCACCCCTCCCCCAGCTTGCGCCTTGTCACCCCCTCTCCCTCCAGCGTGGGCCTGCGTCTCAGGCTCTCTGGAAGGGCGGCCCTGCCCCAGACCCTCTTGCAGATGTCCTGGTTTGACTTGGAACTAGGTGGCCATCTTTCCAGGCTTTGGTGGCCAAAGAGCAGTCCAGGTGGATGGAAGTGGCTGTCCCCTCCTCTCCAGCCCCTGCCCACCCACCGGTGGAGGTGCTAACTAGCAGGGACGTGGCATAGGATGGGAGCTGGGTGCGAGCTGTTTGAGGTCCATTCTTTGTCCCTCAGCTTCTCAGAGTCCGGCCAGCCCTTGTGTTCCGTGCCCCCCACTTTCCTCCTCCCCACTGCAGTGAGGCAATAGTCCAGGCTGGGGCCTGGCCTCCCTGCCCTGATTGGGCACTCAGGAGGTGAGGCCTGGGGGGCTTCCTGCCCACTCCTTGCCCACCTGCCCCCGGGCAGCACGGGAGGGAGAGCAGGGCGAGCACGCTTGTTGGTTTCAGATGCACTTTCTGCTTGCGATGCTGTATCTGTGCGTTCCTTCATCCTGGTCCTGGCTTTATGGAACACCATGTTTTTAGCATGTTTTTAAATAAAAACCAATAAAGTGTCAAAAGCACAGCAGGCTGTCTCTCAGTGGTGTGTTTTGTTCGCTCAGTCAAAACTGTGACGTATGTTGTGGTTGGTGTGAGGGACCCAGATGGATCAGATACCACTCCTGCTGTTCACCCGAGACACACCCCACGGGGACCTCCTCTCTCTTTTGGGGCCCAGGTTACAGATCTGCTGGCGCGGGGAGGGTCTCACTCCTCTCTGGGTGCCTGAGGAATCCTCACATCACCCCTTGAAACAGGCTGGATCGGGGTCAGTCCCAGTGCCCGAGCCCTCTACGTGAGAGGCCATAGTCCTGTCTCCGTACACCCATCACACATGGCCAGTCCTGTGGCCGGGCCCCTAAGTGTATGGTGGGAGGGGTATGGAATAAGTCATTAGCAGCTTCCAGGAGGGGAAGGGGCTTCCTGTGGGGGTGGGGGCTGTCAGTTTCAGAAGTGGTCTTCTTCCCAGTCCCTGTGATGTGCCCGGGGTTCATTTGACCTTGATGTCTCCTAGGACTGAGGGGACCTCATAGTGTGCCTTGGCCCTTTCAGGTGACTCTGGGACAGCCTCAAAGAAGGAACACAGTCAGGATGAGGATGGTCAGCAGGGAAGGCCGTTAAAACCATGAGCGGGTAAGAGCTGCTGATTGGGCCACTGACCTTGCCGCCTTCCTGCTGTCGAAGTCTCCTGCGGCCTTGGTTGGGGTCCTGGTGTGTGGGGTTTCCTTGGCTGTCAGTCAAGGTGACAAGTTGCAGATGAGAAGCTCAGAACTCCCCTTCCTGGTCCTCACTGTGCTCATGTCCCTGGGGTGGAGGCAGGCGTGAGGGTGTGCATGGGGGTGTGACAGCAGTTGCAGGTTTGGAGGTGGGCATCTTGAAACCCCTCTGCCCGTGGAGCTCCATCTCCCTCCCTCTCAAGGGAGTGGCCAGGTCCACACAGAATTATCCCAAAGCATCAACCTCCGGGCAGCCGCCATGTCCCAGAGTCTCCAGAGACGGTGCCCTGAGTCTGAGCCACCCTCTGTCTAAGGTCCAGCTGGAGTGGTGTCCCTGAGAGCCTCCCCAGGATATTTACCAAGAGAGACTTTGTGGCTGTAGGGTCAGGATTGATCATGGCCGAGGAGCAGGTGATCCCCCATCGTCTGCGGAGGACAAACCAACTCATACGAATTTGGGCGGACGCCACCCTGTCTCTGCCCATTCTTACTCTCGCTCCTGCCCCCAGGCCTGTGGACACAGATGTTGAGATGCCCACTGGGTCACTGTGCTGTGTTTTGGGGCTTCCGGGCAATGGAACACACTGGTTGTTCTGTTAACTGTCGGCTCTGGCTGCCCTGTCTGCGGGAGAGGAGCATCTTCTTTTTCTGGGGACTTTTAGTGACGAGGCTGGCGCCTCTGGGCTGGGTCTGGGCTCCTTAGTCTAGGGAGTGACTGAGATGACTCTGGGGGTCCCTCCTTTGCCCCCCCATTCTTGTGTGTGGTGGTGGAACTGCCTCTCCATTGGTGCTCAGCAAAGGGCAAGGGAGAAAGGGTGGTTTCTGAGCGGTGGCAGAGACCTGCCAGCTTTCCACGGGGCCAGTGCTGGCGCTTGCACAGGCAAATGTCTGTTTGCTCAAAGACTTACTGAATACTCACTCGTGCCAGGCGCCTATAACACAGTCGTGGACGACACAGACCCAGTCCCTGCACTTACAGAGCTGACCATTTAGTGGGGGACCCCAGAAGAGTGCGTATGATTGCAAGTAAGTAGTGGCAGTAATGTTTACAGGGCACTGGGAAGCCCTGTGGGACAGTCACTGGCTGAACCCGGAGAAGAGAGGTCTCCAGAGCAGGTGATGTCGAAGCTAAGAGCTGAAGGTGGAGGCGTTCACCTGGCAAAGAGAGGCAGGAGATGTGTCCTGTGGACGCTCGTGGTCCACAGAGCTGGAGCACAGAGGGTGAAGGTGAAGGTCCAGAGACAGCGGTGACCACCAGATCACAACCTGGAGGACCAGGCCAAGGAGCTTGAAGTTCAGGCTGAGAACAATGGGAGCTGAGGAAAGGCTTCAAGCCCAGGTGTGATGGGCTCAGATGGAGCCTTTAGAAAGCTGGCTGTGGCTGCAGTGTGGAGAGTTGTCAGGGACAGGGGAGGCCACCGGGGGACTAGGCACAGGTGCTGCAGTGATTTAGGTGAGAGACGATGATTTAGGTGAGATCCTCAGGGAAGGGCAGTGGGGTGGAGACGAAGCCAGGAGATGAGAGAGACGCATAGGAGAATCTGTGAGCCTTGTTGGTTAATTAGATTTATGCAAAGAAAAGGAGCATTCTTGCCACCTGCCCAGCATGACACCCTCAACCCAGACATGTAGATGACTAATTGTTTGCATCAAATGGATGGATGAATGTATTTTCTGGGCTCATTGCTTCTGTGCAGAAGATGGCAGGGATCAGCATGGTGCAATTAAATCTCTCTCTTTGTTTGTATTGAGCTGCGCAGCTTGCAAAATGCTTCCATAAACGTGATCTAGGTTCCTCCCGACCAAAACCGTCTTATCGGCTGTCACTGTGCTTAAACTTTCACCATCAGAGATGCACCACGGTGTGCCTGGAAAGAGCACTGATGTGGGTGCCAGAGGACCTGGGTTAAATTCCCAGTTTGCATTTGGTGTCTCTAAGCCTCAAAACTTGTCTTGGTTTTGTCATTTGCAAATGAGGATAATGCCTATTTCATAGATTTGTTGTGGGGATTAAATAGAGACATGTATGTAGAGGCATCCAGCTTGATCCTGGACCAGGATAGGTGCTTGGCAAGACAGTGGTTGAACCTGGGTTGCCACATGAAAGGCAGGACCCCAAGGAAGAGCAGCTTTCAGCCCGAGGACACAGGAGAGCGGTCTGCAGAGGGACGTTGGTGTATGAAGGGAGAGTGAGCTGCCCGCAGGAGCTCAGGGAACAAGCTTCCCCATGCCTCTGTTTTGCTCTGGGCTGGCTCAGCAGCAACACTCAATATTCCACAGAAGCAAGAAGGAAGCCAGATTAAATAAATGTCGTTTTGGACACAAAAATATTGACATTGCGATGGTCCCTTCTTAAAGCCGTCAGCAAAGCTTGGTAGGCTATTGATTTAGCCATCTCATTTTTGCTGAGTTTAATGACAACAGTGAGATAGACTGTTATCTCCTAAAGCTAACACAAAGAGTAACAGCACTCCACAGGGCACGCTGGAGCCAGGCCCTCCTGATTGAAGCTGATGCCCTGGAACCTCTCCTTTGCAGCCCAGAGACTACCAGGTAGCCGAGAGCCAGCTAGGGCAGAGCTGGGCACTGCCTCGTTTTCCTTGGCCCTGTGTGCAGAGGAGAGAGGTGAACTAGAACAGGAAGGCTGCACAGTGGCCTGTGGCCGGGTCTTGTGGTTAGCACCTGTTGTCCTGAGATTTTTCTTCTGGTTACTGAGTTCTGGAACAGCCTGGAGCAGTGTCCAGAGCAAGGCCAGGCTAGCCTTGGTGGTCGAGGCGAACTGCAGCCCACATGCTCTGATTGAAGGACCTCAGGAAGCTCATTGTCCTTTGCCTCCCTAATCCCACCTCAACTCCTCCACTCAATTTCTGGAATCAGAATCCAGATGGTCCCTAATTTATAATGGTTCAGCTGATGATTTTTTGACTTTATGATGGTGTGGAAGCGACAGGGATTCAGTAAAAATGCTTATCACTTTCCTGAGTATCCACAGAACCATTCTGGTTTTCGTTTTCAGTACAGCATTCAATAAACGACATGAGATACTCAGCACTCCGCCGTAAAGTGGCCTTTGTGTTAGATGGTTTTCCCACTGTGGGCTAACGCAAGTGTTCAGAGCACATTTAAGTTAGGCTAGGTTAAGCTGTGGTGTTCGGTAGGTTAGGGGAATTTTTTTTTTTTTTTTTTTTTTTTTTTGAGACGGAGTCTTGCTCTGTCACCCAGGCTGGAGTGCAGATCTCAGCTCACTGCAAGCTCCGCCTCGGGTGAGTCTTGCTCTGTCACCCAGGCTGGAGTGCAGGGGCGGGATCTCAGCTCACTGCAAGCTCCGCCTCCCGGGTTCCCGCCATTCTCCTGCCTCAGCCTCCCGAGTAGCTGGGACTACAGGCGCCGCCACCACGCCCGGCTAATTTTTTGTATTTTTAGTAGAGACGGGGTTTCACCGTGTTAGCCAGGATGGTCTTGATCTCCTGACCTCGTGATCCGCCTGTCTCGGACTCCCAAAGTGCTGGGATTACAGGCGTGAGCCACTGCGCCCGGCCGTTAGGAGTATTAAATGCATTTTTGACCTATGGTATTTTCAACTTATGTTGAGTTTATTTGGGACGTGACCCCTTCGTAAGTCGGGGAGTGTCTACATATTCTGAATATATTTGTTTTCTCTGGCAGGAGACCCCAGTTCCTGAAAGGACTCAGCCTTCTTATTCACCAGTTGGCCCCTCCAAGAGAGTATGTTGGGTTTGACCTCTGGCCTCCAACTCAGGGTTCTCTAGAGTAGGATTGGAGATTCCTGAGCTATTCTCAATATTTTAAAAGTCCCAGGGAAGTTGTTCCTCCCCCCATCATGGGAACATAAACCTCTTGGGTCTGGCTGGCTCTGTTATGCCCTTAGTACAGGTTTCCTTCCTTTCCCCTGGTCCGATGCACAGGCTCCCACCGGCTGTTCCACAGGTCCTCTCCTTCCTGCTCAGGGCACTGCCAGATAGGGTTTGACCAGAGACAGAAGCAGGAGGAAAAAAGAAGTAGGGCCTTCTTGCTTTTTTTTTTGGATACAGTCTCACTTTGTCACCCAGGCTGGAGTCCAGTGGCGTGATCTTGGCTCACTGTAACCTCGGCCTCCTGGGTTCAAGCGATTCTTGTGCCTTAGACTCCTGAGTAGCTGGGATTACAGGCACCTGCCATCATGCCCGGCTAATTTTTGGTATTTTCAGTAGAGACGGGGTTTCACCATGTTGGCCAGGCTGGTCTTGAACTGCTGACCTCAAGTGATCCGCCCGCCTTGGCCTCCCAAAGTGCTGGGCTTACAGGCATG